TAATTTGTTCGAAATTGTAGAATTAGTATTTTGAACTTCACAAACATCTAATTTGAACCAGTGTTGCATTAAAAATATCACGTGACACACAAAAATCAATGTTTATCTGTGTCTTTTTAATATTTGCTTTTAAATTAAGAAATTGAGTAATATATAGTACTAAAATTTTAATTATAATCTACAGTTTGATACAAAACTTATTGACATAAAATTTTGAATGTGAATCAACAAACGAGATGACAAAAGCTTTCACCCATGACCCGTCTCTAAAGGGTTAACCTATTTATACCTTAGTTACAAAGCCAGTTAAATTACGTTAGTTTGGGGATGCTATTCAGGAGCCCAATGTATTTTTTGTGTTCTAAAAGGTACAATAGAAAGGTATACAAAATTTTATCTGAATAACTAGCTTAGCAAAAACAAGAAAGATAACTTCTTTGAGAGTAAATAGAGTACAGGGCATACACTTTGCTCATAACAGTTGCTAGTTACTTACCACTGTGATTTATTGCTTATCACAAAGAATGGAGGGCCAAAGTTCTACCAACATGATAATCAAATTAAAAGAAAACAGATATTAAAAGGTTATCATTTGAAAGTATGAAGATTAGAAGATGGACAATCTAGCAAAAATTATTACTGTATTTGACAGCATATAAGATGCACTTATTTCCCAAAATTTTGGCTCATAAAAATTGCCCTGCGTCTAATATGCGAAGTTGAGACCTTCCGCAGGCTAATCTTCTTCCTAACGCTCACTATCCTAGCATACGAACAGTACAGCATTCCAACTACGAAATAAGAAATAGGATATTTGCATAGGCCAGACGCAGTCGAATTTTCAGCATCCTGTTAAAGGATGGAAGGTCTATCTTTTAAAAGTGCGAACGCTTGTCCCTTCAGAAACAAGGTTTTGTCACGTCGTTTTATCTTTACTGTGAAACTTGATATTGCGACCAACTTGTGTCAACAACTTGAAAAATGCACGGCCAATCAGTTAGCGAAGATAGAGAGAGTGGCAAATTACAAGCAAACAATAGGGAATGCTACCGCGTGCTCCGTCTATCTATTTAAAGTCTTTGCATTGAGTGCACGTAGGCTATTTAGCCGATTTGTGAACCAGCTTCTGACATTTTTTCCTGGGTGAACTGTAGAGTAAGATAAATCAATCTAATATTAAAATAATAACGGTGAGTGTTTTTACACTGGGGTTTTCCTGTCTCTTTATAGTGTACAGTTCCATTTTTGGTTTACTCAAATTCATTTATTGTCTTATTTTCATGCTTTAAAAATGTTATGGTAGCAGGAGGAAAAAGATCGAGCTACACAATCTCCTACAAATTACAAGTGGTAGGTTATGCCAAGGAACATGGCAATAGAGTAGCAGCAAGGGCTTTTGGGCCACCACCTACGGAAAAAATGATACGTGTCTGGCGACAGCAAGAAAACCAACTGAAGAGAACAAGGAAAGGTAAACATAACCTTTGTTACCCAGCCCCACATTGGCCAGAACTTGAGGTTGACATAGAAACGTGGGTGGTATATGAGAGAAATTCAGGGAGAAGTGTTTCTGCCAAAATGATAATTCATGAGGCCAGGAAAGTAGCAAAATAACGAGGGATACAGAACTTCTCAGGAGCAGAAGGTTGGTGTTATAGGTTTATGAAACGGCGGGGTTTATCAATGCGTACAAAAACATCCATTGCACAGAAAATGCCTGCTGATTATGAAGAAAAAATATTAGAATTTCATAGATTTGTTATAAATGCATGAAAGAAAACTTGTTTTGAACTGGGCCAAATAGGGAACATGAATGAAGTTCCACTCACATTTGATGTACCATCCAACATGACTGTGGCTGTCAGAGGGTCTAAAACGGTCTCAATAAAAATCACTGGCCATGAAAAGACCCACTATACAGCAGTTCTGATCTGTTGTGCTGATGGCACAAAACTGGCACCTCTCTTGATATTTAAAAGAAAAACCCAGCCTGAAGATAAAATTCCAACAAGTGTATTTGTTCATGTCCACCAAAACGGCT